GGATCATCATTCACCGTCTTCACTGCTGCCTTTATAACCGGCTCAAGCTGGACCTGGTTCATGGGAAAGGAGCCGAAGCTAATCGTCACTGCGTTTGCACCCACTTTCTTCTCCTTGGGCTGCTTCATGGTGATGACCCCAACATCGATAAGAGCTTGGATCTTGTCCTTGAGAGCGTAGCATACCCTGGTAGGATGATGCACCGCTTTGTGAAATGCGCAATACTTTGGATCATTAACTCTCTTGGCATCTTCCTGATCCTGGATTGGAGGCAATTTGATCTTGTTGTTCTCGACGAGGTACTTGAAGATACCAGGAACTTCGTCCTCTCTGAATGAATAAGTTTTCGGGAACTTTGGCTCCGAAGCTTTCGGCCTCGGGGTCTGCTGTTGCCACCTTGGTTGTTGAGGCGCCTTTGGCTCCGAAGCTTTCGGCCTCGGGGTCTGCTGTTGCCACCTTGGTTGTTGAGGCGCCTTTTGCTAATGCTGTTGCGGTTGCGCCTGCACCTCGAACGTTTGATTAGCGTTCACGGCATTTGCGTGCGCTTTTCCTTTACCCCTAGGGGTGAAGTTTGGTTGTGGAGCATTATTTGCTATTTGGCCCCTTTCCGCCTTCTTCCTTTTGAGGAATCGTTCGGCTCTTTCTCCTCGCACCTTCAAGTCCTTCCAGGTCTTTGATGGCGCCGTTCCCATAGATTCAAGGATATCCAAGGTGAGATTGTTGTGACAGGTCTCGAGGATGAAATCTTCGCTGACCGGGTCCCTGCAATTCATCGCTTTATTTCGAAACCTTTTCACAAAGTTTTCGACTGTCTCACCATTTTTCTGTTTCTCCTCAAACAGAGTGCTGATCGAGACCTCAGTGTCATCATCAAAGAAGTTCGTCAAGAACATGTCCTCCATGTCGTCCCAACTGCCGATGCTCCCCGGCTTGAGGCGACGATACCAATCGAAGGCCGCTCCGCGAAGAGTGCCAACGAATGACCGTACCATCAAGGGTTCGTTGCCAGAGATTGTTCCTAAGTGAGACTTGAAATATATTAAATGTTGGGTAGGGGAACCCTTTCCATCGAACGGTGTAAAGTTAATGAGATTGAACTTTGCCGGATATGGAATTGATTCCCACTCCCTTGGATATGGACACGGTATACCTGACCTTTTTACCTCTTGAGCATTCATCAATGCATTGATTTTGCTCTCCAAGTCTTTCATCTTTTTGTCTTCACTCGTTTCTATCTTCGAGTGGTTTTGGGGAGAGGTAATGTGGTCTTCTTTGGCATTATCATCTACAGGACCACTTCCGTTGTTGTTGTTGACAGGGGGGATAATGACATTATTCCCTTCCTGTTCATGCTCCTCTTGATTCTGATGATTGGGTCGAGTGGGTTCTTCTTGACGATTTGTCAGAGTTGCGATCTGCTGGTCATGCATTTCCCTCATCTGCTGCATGGCCATCTCCATCTCGAATTTGAATGCTTCTTTCTGCCGAGTTAGGGCGTCTTCGAGCATTTTGTTCATTTGTTCGGCGCTGACCATTAGTACCTCGCGGGGTTGTCCCTCGCTGGATACCGTGTTGTCCGAAGCAATCGCGGAGCCGGCATCTGATCCTTCGTCTTCCGATGGTGATCTCGTCCGAACTCTACCATAGGTCCCTCGTGTAATGGTTCCGAACTGCAGGTGAGTTAGATACCAGGGTACCAATGGAATTGACTCGGGGTTGTCCCCTGTTGATGCTCCCTTGCTGGCCATGTTGATGGTGACCTTCGGGAATTCTCCGTCTTTGACTACCCTTCTTCTTCTTCGGAAATGCTTAGGTTTGGTCTCAGACGTTCCAGTGGAGATTCTCTCGAACACTGAAATTCTCCTTGGGGCTTTAGGACAGCAGCATTCGGAAAGCACCGCCTTGATTATGTTGGCGCACGGGCAGCGAGACTCCATGTCCTGCACATACTTCTTTCGAGATTTCCCCATACCCCTAGCTCTATAGTACAGCTCATCAGCTTGATAACTGGAGCAACTTATGTTGGCGCACGGGCAGCGAGACTCCATGTCCTGCACATACTTCTTTCGAGATTTCCCCATACCCCTAGCTCTATAGTACAGCTCATCAGCTTGATAACTGGAGCAACCTATAGAGTGTTGGCATGTGCTCCTTGGTAAAACACCATCATCCTTAGATGAGTGTGCTTCCCCTTGGGCATGGGATGCTTTGTTAGCTTTTTCAAAAGTGGCCCGTTCAAGTTTACGTTTTTGTGAACATAAAAATTGAACGGGCTCTTGTATTTCGACTCGCAATCCGATGCGGTCGGTGATAGGGGCTTTCCCTTTCTCATCTTTCGTGGGGGGATTAATTCGACCCCCAGTTTGATTTGAAACTTGGTGACCTTTCAACGGACCCAATCGTTCCTTGATAGGTACTTTACCTCGATTCCCTGGTAAGGGACCGAGGCGACCTTTCACAGGAACCTTGGAGGTTGAAGGGTCCGTGTTCATACCTGACCCTACCGGAGGTGCCGGGGTAAGGGGAATAGGACTTGGCCTTGGTGAAGGTTGGACAGCAATTTCTTTCACTCTTGCCTTGGGCGTTGGATTCGCCTTTAGCATCCACATTTGTTTGAGTTTTGGCGGAGTCTTGACCGCCTCTTCTTTCTGCATCTCCTCTGCTTTCTTCAAGAGAGCTCGGGCATGCGCAAGCAGTGCACGGCGCTTCCTGATTCTCTCTTCAAGGGTGGAGCGGTTCCTTGTAACACGCACCCACTTGTTCGTTTCTGCTTGAGAGGAGGAGTTGGTTACATACCGTTGCTGCTCAAGGCGTTGTCTCGATTTGAGATCTTCTTTGTAGCGGACCCCATCCATAGGCTCCAAATCCTTGGCCATTTGACGAGCAAGGCGCTGGCGCCGCCTTTGGAGCGCCCTCTTTGATACAGCTGGAGCGCCTTCAGTAGCCACCTTCTTGGGGGAGGAGCCCAGATCTGCGATCTCGACCACGTTGGGCGACGCGGAGACGCCACGTGGTGCAAGTGCAGCGATGGCTAAGGGATCTTGGGTCTTTGAGCCGAAGGTCCCACGAACAACTCTGGAGGAGGATGCCTTCTTTCGCCTACTTGGAGAGGCGGATCTGGAGGAGGAGGAAGAGAGGTATTCTTCGTACTTCTGCTGGTCGAACTCGTACTCGACCTCTTCGTTCACCCGGATCTTGAGGGCCGGTTGCGTCACGACGGCGTCGGTTGCGATGCCGTTGGCTCCCACTGTGGTCGCCAGCTTGTTTTCGGTGAAAGTCGGTGTTTTCATTGCTTTTGAATCTGTTACAACTTCAAACGTTACAACAAGAATGCAACCAAAACAAAGATTACAACTTTATCGAAAATAAACACGAGATCCCGTTTTGGTGCGGTCTCGCTTGCGTGGGTCTTTGGCCTGTGACGGGGATGTTGATATCCGTGGACCACCGGGGCAATCAGATCCGGTCCGGATAAATCGGACAGAGTTTCGTCGATCCGCGTGAGATCTAGAAACTTCTAATCCAGAAATATCGGACAGAACTTCGTCGATCCGCGTGAGATCTAGAAGTTCTAAGCGTATACCTCGGCTAAAGCGAGGTAATAGCTCTTCTTAGTATTAACGCTAAAGGCTAATACTAAGGAAGGATGAGAACGGGTGATGAAGGCTGATTTAGACCTCTCCTCCTCGGTTGAAGTGCTCGATCAGTGTTTGCTGCAGCAGGGCTTCGCCGAGGCTCTCCAAAAATCCAGATCCTTCCAAATGAGGTAAGGGGGTCCTATTTATAGGAAAACAAGAGGGGGGGCGTCCGCACAGATCTAGGACACCCCAGGGGTGTCCGCACAGATCTGGGACACCCTTGGGGTGTCTCCAAAAATCCGAGACACCCCTAGGGTGTCTCGGAAATTCCGAGACACCCTTGGGGTGTCTCGGAAATTCCGAGACAGGGTGCGCTGGATGCTTGACGAAGAGTTCGATCCGCTCTGGTGGTCGGATTATCTGTAGAGTGGTCGAGGCGCGAGGGGCGTTGTCCTTTTTGTGAACAGTGCCGGGTTCCCGATCGGTCCGGGTCTTCGTTGTTCCGAAATCATATCCGCTTATGTAGCTCGTCGATTCACTTCAGTCGTTCGTCGACGTCAATTGAACTCCTGTGGATCGGATGGCGCTTATGTAGCTCGTCGATTCACTTCAGTCGTTCGTCGACGTCAATTGAACTCCTGTGGATCGGATGGTAACGTTCATCGTCGCTTTCTAACACTGAACCGTTCGTGGAGACCTATAGGCAATTTTCGATGCCTACATCCCCATTCTACACAGTCTATCCATGGTGAGAAGTTTTGAATTGCATGCTAACCACATAATAAATGAGTGCTTTCGATAAAGGAAACTATCCCATATTGTATCAGACCATCCAACCTCAGAAGCTGGCTGTGTCAAGATTTTATACACAGCTGATAGTTTGATTTTACCATTTGTTGTGCAACTTTCCATACTTATCTTCATGTTTTCGATGCTTCCAAACTTATTCAACAACACATCTCATACTTTCAACAACTGCCTCCATATCCATGAATCACTCACTCTTGATTGTGCCTCCCATATGTTATGATTTTTCAATCAATGGTCGTGAACCCATTTAATCCATAATAGATCTTTTTTTGAAATGCACCATCCACAGGAGCTTAACAGCTGCTGTGTAATTCCATTCTTTTGCTGAAAAAACCCCCAACCCCCCTTTTTTCTTCTCTTGACATACAGCAGTCCAAGATACTAGGTGCATCTTGTTGTCCCATAAGAAATCTTAGCATAGTCTATCAATTTTTTCCAAGACTTTTATTGGCAGGAGTTTTGATAGTGGTTGTATGTCACGCCCCGGGTCCAAAACGTGATAATTTGGAGCGTGACTCGGTCGGCAATGCAACCATACGGTTACATTCACGCCTCTGGATCATCCTGTATACAGATATATTGCTAAAAGAACTATTATATAGAGCATGCAACTAAAATAACAAAGGAACGAGATAGATAAAGAAACTCTGAAAAGACAAATTCTCTTACATGTCCACAACTTTTCAAAGTAGGAAAGAGGAAAAAAAATACATCTTAGTCTGGAGTACCACAAGTGATTACAAGAAAGACTCAAAAACTGAAGCTGAGAAAGTGAAGAGAGAGAAGGTGATCACTGTCACTGGTCTTAATCCTTAAAGTACTCTTGGTCCTGCGAAGAAAGAACAATTCCCGAGTCTGGGGCATGCAAACCCCAGCGGAGTCAGAAAACTCCCAGCAAGCATGTAAAATGAGAAAATTGTGCATGTGTAAGTATAAGTGGTAGATATAAAGAAAAGATAAATTCTAAAATTTCAGTGATAAAAGAAAAGCTATTTTTATAAATCAAAATAAGATGAAACCTCAGTTAAAGATGATAAAGGAAATTTCTAACCATGTATATCTAACTAGATCTACCCTAAAGCATACATCTTATACCCTATACTAAAATGAGGTAAGATTTAGAAACCCACAATATGAGAGATGAGTACGTCGAGGGAATAATCCAATTTATGTGTCATATGGTCAATGTCACTAGATCATGCTACAAGGTTAGAGAAATTGGTCTCAGTTTCAATCAATATTCCTTGTAATGAAAATCATGAAAGGTTCCGCTTGTTTGCAAAGTTGCATCTCAAGTTTCAATTTTCTGTATATAAAAATGCGGGCAACATGACAATTACCAAGAGGTGCTATCTCTAGCATGTGTAGTACTCTAAGTATCCAAGCAAATAAAATTTAACCAGACCGGCTAAGTGGTTCCTAGAAACGTTCATATGGAAACTATTAACTCAAGTAAATATTAAAATTCCAATCAAAGAAAGTCAAACCCAAAACGTAGCAATAATAACATACACTTCTCCAAATCAATCCATTTTCTTATGCTTTAAGGATCCCTTATGAAAACTAATATTACAAATCGTGTGATTAATGCAAATCACAATGCATCATAATTATTTATCAATTGCTATTACCCTCATAAAGACTTTTTAAAACAGCGATTAGACTTATATAATCATGTAATTTTGGTCAACTAGTCTGTGGGGAAAATAAAAATTAGTTCATACGTCATACCTCAAAGCTGAATATGGTACTTAACATGTGAATGACTGATAATGAGGATCTTAACAGATTGGACCTTTAAAAACCAAACATATATAACCCACCGATGTCATCCCTCTTAATAAAAAAATTTAATCCTTTTACTTCTATGCTCCAAAGGTCGTTGTAGGCTTCCCAAATTCGCTGTGGGCCCTCCAAATAAAGCCATACTCTTAAAAAAGAATTAGTTGGAAAGTTACTTGCTTAAAGATGGTAATCAAGCTCCTATTATGTGCATGTATTGAAGTATATGGAAAAATAAAAGAATTGAAAAGATAAGAAATGCTTGCATAATAATAATATTGAGAACGAATTTAACAAAAGCATGACAAAAATGCTTGCCGTCGAGAGGGTGATGGTGATGTTTGGGGACGGCGACGACGATGGGGTTGTCATCACTGAGGGGCTCAACGGGGGCTGTTGGCATACCGTCGAACATATGGCGTGCGATGGAGGCGATGGTCGTCAGAGGGCAGCGGGTCTGGACAGCGAGCAGGGATCGACATCGCTGCGGCAAATGGAAGGCTCGCGCGGCTGGAGGAGCGCCGGCGAACTGCAGAGGAGGACGAAGGAACTGAGGTGGAGGCTCTGGTGGATCTCAGTGACGGCGAAGTTTGGACTGTTGGCGAGGAGATGGAGTTGAGGGTGGCGCGGTTGAGGGAGGGGACTGCTGTGGTGTGTACGATGTCGGCGAGCAGGGGCGTCGGGAGAGGCGCTGGCAGAGGGCTTGGCGATCAGCGTGGTCGGATCTGATGGTGGGAGCTCAGGTGAGGTGGCGACAACGATTCTAAGCTCGAGGGAGGAGTTGCGTGTCTTAGGGCGGCGGAGTTGGTGGCGGAGCTTGAAGGGCCTCGTGGATACGGCGTGGAGGTGGCGAAGTCTGGTCGTGGTGATGGCAACGGCGATGAGGTGTAGGGGCTGATGATGGCGGTGCTGAAGGGGGTTGTCTGTCAGCGACGCGTCAGGGGGATGGAGAGGCCGGCGTGGTGGCTGGACGGAGGAGGCGGGGAAGGTGACGAAGGTGGTGAGGTTCGTGGTCGGGTGCAGCGGCGTTCGAGCTCGTGCAGCATGAGAGAGAGAAGAAATCGAGATGAGAGAGGGAAGGAGCTGGTGATTGATTGGAGAGAGTGGGAGAAAAATCTCTTTTTTTTGGAGGAGAGAGAACGATTGGGTGAGCTGTAACTGAGAGGGATAGGAAGAGAGAGAAAGTGAGAGAATTATGAGAGGTATAAAGGAATGAGTAAAACGTGATTTGATTTGAATTGATTAGGGAATTGATTAGGATATTGATTGAAAACGTGCTTGAATGTGGACACATTTATGGGGAGATTAAGAGGGGAAAAAAATAATTGAGAGAGAGGCAAAGATTATGGAGATTCATTACCATAAATATAAGAATAATTATGGTAATAATAATTTAACAAAATAATAACAACCAAATCTTTTTATTTATATATATACTAATGTACTAAAAGAATATTAATACTCTAATATTCAAAATAATATTTAATATTTTAAATACTAGAAAAAAATTATTTAATATGTATCGTAAAATTTCGATTGTTACATCCTACCCTCCTTAAAACAAATTCCGTCCTCGGAATTTAATCCAAGCATACGAGAAGCAATGCTCTACCAAAAATAAATAGATATGGTACCCAAATCTAGATTATCATCGTATATATCTCATACCATATACTCTAAGGTTATTGGAATGACTCCCCATAAAATGAATCCCCTGCGAGATCATTCAAGACGTGATACATGTAAACCAATTATTTCCCAAGTTTGGTCCTAAGGATCGTCACCCTTAGGACCACCACCAATCACAATCCAGTGGAGGAAGATCACGAGCCCCCTCTCACTAAAACATGTATCCCAATATCAATGTTACAATGGTGTCTTGAAGGACTCGCTTGACATTCAACACTATGGCATCATAAACATGTATAACATAAGATAATTTGATACTAATATAAAACTGGTAGATCTTATCCTGAGACCTTTCATGAAGTTCTTTTCCTTGCATCTCTTAAACTTATAAACAATGTGGTTGGAATCATGGTTCGATGGCACTTCTCAAGTATTAATATATCTTTCTTGATATCAAGCATCATTTATTACCTCGATCATATACTAGGTACATAATCATATAATATCTTCAAATCAAATACTTAACTTTATATGGCTGTTATCTCACAAAAATCGAGTTTCCAAAATATACCCTCAATATCATCCACATGATTTCTCATTCTTGGATATCATGCATATTATTAAGCACGAGCCACATTCAGAATTTATAATCTAGGTAATCAATTGCACATACGTCACCAGATGGATTTACCTTACATGCATATCTACCTCGAGTTAAGCTTAAACATTGCTCTCACATGACTTAACGGTGCTAAATACTGGTCCAGCTGGAGGTAACTGAAAAGTTTTCAAGTCTACTAATATCTTGATTGGTTACCACATAAAGAACATCCAAGTTCATTCGCATGAACTAGTTGGAGCTAAAAGGTTACAAATTTAGATGATCCGTTGACTGAGATAACTTAATCCAAACAGACAACCAGGAACTTGTAGTTGCTGCCAATGTGAGGGCTAGTGGCTGGATAAACTTTCATGCTAGCTTAACTTATGAAGCTTGGGGCTAGTCTACAATACCCTATCTATGCACATTGACTAAGTCCGTGTACACTTGGCTTGAGAAGGGAAAAGAATTAACTGTTAAGATAGAAATGAATTTGGATGCGGAATCAAAGGAGTAAGCGCAAAAAGATATTTCAAGAGAGAACGACCCTAATATTATACATGCTCGGACTCCTATTCCTATTTTAAGAGATCCAATAGTTATGTACAGGATAAGAGTCCAGTTATCTAACCTGGGCTAATATCACATTCTCAACGCCCTATCTCAAATTTTGTAGAATCGTTATTCCTTCATTGTCCCAGTACAAGCTCTTATTTGATCCATGCATATCTTAATGTTAAAAAGTCATATTCAAATTCAAGCGAACATAGTCTAAATATAGTGTATACCTCTCTTCAAAATTTATATCATTCTAGATGTCATCCTTCTGTTGTGCTGCTCTACTAATATTAAGGTTAAACTCATCTCTAAAGATTTTATACTAATCCTATAAATTCAGATGAAGTACAAATTTTTATATAAATCCTCCATCGCTGCTCACAAATTCTCAATTGTCGAGATCATAAATTTCACCAAATATCTTCTAAGTTGATCTATATATATGTCCATGCATCTTCAATCATCAAATAAGTCGGATCTGCATCTTCAATCATCAAATACGTCGGATCGAAAATTAAATATCGTTATAAAATTTCATATCATTATAGCTCTCTTCTTAGCTTTAGTAAATCTTTATTTCATCTCATGTCCTAGCAAACCTCTTTTCAGGTCTTTGCATATCTCAATCATTAAAATTTCAAACTAATATTTTGATATCTCGAATATGATTCTTTTTCACCCACCTTATTTATCACCTTAATCTTGATATAATATGAAGGTATCTTCTCAACTCACTCAACATCAAATCCACATTCTGAACTTTTTTTTCCCTCTTGATCCTCTAACTTAGTTTTAAATAACATCTTATTCATATTTCCTCAATCCCAAGATCATGTCCTCAAAAATTTAATTCCAAATACTCGAGGGACAACTGGAGTAGGGGGTCGACATTTTAGAGTCATAGTGATCACCTAAAGGAGATTGGTCAAGATTAGGACAAAGAATCAGGATATTAGGAGTCAAGGGATGTATTTCTGGAAAGGAAAGAACCTATACTATACATGCTCCATATTTTTGGTCTAATCTTAATTTGTGTTTGTATACAGGATGAGACAACAATTTCTAAACCTAGGCTCTGATACCAATAAAACCATGTCACGCCCCGGGTCCAAAACATGATAATTTAGAGCGTGACACAGTCGGCAATGCAACCATACGGTTACATTCACGCCTCTTGAGACAACAATTTCTAAACCTGGCTCTGATACCAATAAAACCATGTCACGCCCCGGGTCCAAAACATGATAATTTAGAGCGTGACTCAGTCGGCAATGCAACCATACGGTTACATTCACGCCTCTTCTAATCTTAATTTGGTTTGTATACAGGATGAGACAACAATTTCTAAACCTGGCTCTGATACCAATAAAACCATGTCATGCCCCGGGTCCAAAACGTGATAATTTGGAGCGTGACTCGGTCGGCAATGCAACCATACGGTTACATTCACGCCTCTGGATCATCCTGTATACAGATATATTACTAAAAGAACTACTACATAGAGCATGTAACTAAATAGCAAAGGAACTAGATAGATAAAGAAAACTCTGAAAGGACAAATTTCTCTTACATGTCTACAACTCTTCAAAGTAGGAAAGAGGAAAATACATCTTAGTCTGAAGTACCACAAGTGATTACAAGAAAGACTCAAAAACTGAAGCTGAGAAAGTGAAGAGAGAGAAGGTGATCACTGTCACTGGTCTTAATCCTTAAAGTACTCTTGGTCCTGCGAAGAAAGAACAATTCCCAAGTCTGGGGTATGCAAACCCCAGGGGAGTCAGAAAACTCCCAGCAAGCATGTAAAATGAGGAAATTGCTCGTGTATAAGTGTATGTGGCAGGTATAAAGAAAAGATGGAAACTCAATTAAAGAATGATAAAGGAAATTTCTAAACATGGATATCAAATAAGGTCTACCACAAAACACATATCTTATACCCTATACTAAAAAGAGTTAAGATTTAGAAACCTAAACACGAGATGAGTACGTCGAGGGAATAATCCAAACAAGGAAACCCTCGTATATACCATATATCTCAAATTATAAATCTCTAAATATTAACTCCTAAAATTCTATACACAAATAATATAAATATACATCACCCATACTTTATCCAGGTCATACCGTGCATGCCAAATCTATCACAAAGCATAAAAACACATTATTCTTATTTTTACATGTTATTTGAATTAGAGAAGAATATTTTCATGTATATAAATCGGTTCCCCGTAAACCGTCCCGGGAACACGGCTTCAAGTCAGGAATTGGCTCTTTGGCCCATGTATAAATATAACTCAGGATATCAGGAGTGCGCATATGCCCGTTTATAGACATGTTATATTCTTCGTCTAATTCCCCTTTTTAAAACCCCATGTTTGTCGATTAAATTTTAAATGACTGTGCATGAAATGTTGTGCACTAACCACAGAGTTACCGTGGAACGACTTCTGTAAAACTATGAAAAATAACCGTGACCCAGAACATGTCTAATCAAGAGGGTTGCATCGTCTAGTCGATGCTATAATAGTAATAGCCAAGGGAAAACCTCATATCGGGATGTCAATATCGAGAACATAGCCATGCTATGAAAGCACGCTTACATATCATATTTTTAACAGGAGTCGTCTTCATGCACAGTCTCACCTATTGGATGATAACTAGGTGATCAAACAAATTACTTTCCACATAGCCATTCATGTCAAATACAGTATCAAACAAGATAAATACTATAAGTATGAACCGGGTGTTAATCTAATCATGACATGAGCAAATAAAATTTAACCAGACCGGCTAAGTGGTTCCTAGAAACGTTCATATGGAAACTATTAACTCAAGTAAATATTAAAATTCCAATCAAAGAAAGTCAAACCCAAAACGTAGCAATAATAACATACACTTCTCCAAATCAATCCATTTTCTTATGCTTTAAGGATCCCTTATGAAAACTAATATTACAAATCGTGTGATTAATGCAAATCACAATGCATCATAATTATTTATCAATTGCTATTACCCTCATAAAGACTTTTTAAAACAGCGATTAGACTTATATAATCATGTAATTTTGGTCGACTAGTCTGTGGGGAAAAATAAAAATTAGTGCATACGTCATACCTCAAAGCTGAATATGGTACTTAACATGTGAATGACTGATAATGAGGATCTTAACAGATTGGACCTTTAAAAACCAAACATATATAACCCACCGATGTCATCCCTCTTAATAAAAAAATTTAATCCTTTTACTTCTATGCTCCAAAGGTCGTTGTAGGCTTCCCAAATTCGCTGTGGGCCCTCCAAATAAAGCCATACTCTTAAAAAAGAATTAGTTGGAAAGTTACTTGCTTAAAGATGGTAATCAAGCTCCTATTATGTGCATGTATTGAAGTATATGGAAAAATAAAAGAATTGAAAAGATAAGTGCATAATAATAATGAGAACGAATTCAACAAAGAGCAAGACAAAAATGCTTGCCGTCGAGAGGGTGATGGTGATGTTTGGGGACGGCGACGACGATGGCGGTTGTCATCACTGAGGGGCTCAACGGGGGCTGTTGGCATACCGTCGAACATATGGCGTGCGATGGAGGCGATGGTCGTCAGAGGGCAGCGGGTCTGGACAGCGAGCAGGGATCTACATCGCTGCGGCAAATGGAAGGCTCGCGCGGCTGGAGGAGCGCCGGCGAACTGCAGAGGACGACGAAGGAACTGAGGTGGAGGCTCTGGTGGATCTGAGTGACGACGAAGTTTGGACTGATGGCGAGGAGATGGAGTTGAGGGTGGCGCGGTTGAGGGAGGGGACTGCTGTGGTGTGTACGATGTCGGCGAGCAGGGGCGTCGGGAGAGGCGCTGGCAGAGGGCTTGGCGATCAGCGTGGTCGGATCTGATGGTGGGAGCTCAGGTGAGGTGGCGACAACGATTCTAAGCTCGAGGGAGGAGTTGCGTGTCTTAGGGCGGCGGAGTTGGTGGCGGAGCTTGAAGGGCCTCGTGGATACGGCGTGGAGGTGGCGAAGTCTGGTCGTGGTGATGGCAACGGCGATGAGGTGTAGGGGCTGATGATGGCGGTGCTGAAGGGGGTTGTCTGTCAGCGACGCGTCAGGGGGATGGAGAGGCCGGCGTGGTGGCTGGACGGAGGAGGCGGGGAAGGTGACGAAGGTGGTGAGGTTCGTGGTCGGGTGCAGCGGCGTTCGAGCTCGTGCAGCATGAGAGAGAGAAGAAATCGAGATGAGAGAGGGAAGGAGCTGGTGATTGATTGGAGAGAGTGGGAGAAAAATCTCTTTTTTTTGGAGGAGAGAGAACGATTGGGTGAGCTGTAACTGAGAGGGATAGGAAGAGAGAGAAAGTGAGAGAATTATGAGAGGTATAAAGGAATGAGTAAAACGTGATTTGATTTGAATTGATTAGGGAATTGATTAGGATATTGATTGAAAACGTGCTTGAATGTGGACACATTTATGGGGAGATTAAGAGGGGAAAAAAATAATTGAGAGAGAGGCAAAGATTATGGAGATTCATTACCATAAATATAAGAATAATTATGGTAATAATAATTTAACAAAATAATAACAACCAAATCTTTTTATTTATATATATACTAATGTACTAAAAGAATATTAATACTCTAATATTAAAAATAATATTTAATATTTTAAATACTAGAAAAAATTATTTAATACGTATCGTAAAATTTCGATTGTTACATTGTATTTGATGAACTGTTTCTGGAAAACATTGTGTGATTGTTTTGATTTAGATGATAACTCATTGTTCACGGGAAAAATTGTTGCTTTCTTCATTATTGAATTCATTGCACACTCTTGTAATAATTTATCGATTACAAAGATCCGGTCTTTTTATAAGATCCGGTTACAACGAAATCGAAGAAAAAGAAAAAAGATTACAACTTTCCTTTCGAACGAATCGCGAGCTCCTGTTTGTGGTCACTCGCTTTGTGGGTTCTTCGCCTACGCCGGGGTTTATCCGTGGACCACCGCGCGATCTAGATCAGGTCGGATCTACGCAGTATGACAGGTATTATTTCGCCAAGGAAATAATAGCCGAGCGTACTATTTCGCCAAGGAAATAATAGCCTTTAGTTCTCGGGATCAAAGGCCAAGCTTTGATCCGGAGGATGACTACGTAGATCTGAGATCCGGTTCCTCTCGAACTCTTGCCTTATTTGGCGTTGACGATCGCCGAGCACCGGATCTGGAAGAGCAAGTCCTCAAAGTCCCAAAGCTTTAATCTTTTTAAGTTCTGAGCCTTGAATCCGGCAGAGCTTCACCTCCAAAAATTCCAACCTCCTCAAAAATGAACCACGCCCTCTATTTATAGGCTCTCAGATCTGTGCCTTGGCACAGATCTGGGCCGGCCACCTATAGGTGGCTCGGCCACCTAGCCACCTATAGGTGGCTCGGCCACCGAGCCACCTAGAGGTGGCTCGGTTTTGGCCGAGTCCCCTAGGTGTTGTGGTTTTTGCCGTTTTTTCCGGTCTCGTGGTTGATTTTGACTCTGATTTGGCAGTAAATCCACTTCTGAGTTCGAGTCCGAAACTGATCTTGATTTGATCGTGATTCGTCCGAGTCCGTTTTTGGTTGGATAACTCGTTGATTCCTCAACCCGTTAGCTAAATTCCGCACGCGAGTGGATTTATTCCGTTGTTTGCGTGCGGTTCGTTGGCCTCGTTAATCCGTTTTGTCGCGTATCACTTGGCTTCGGTGTTGTGGACTAACAATCGTGTCTGCATACGTCGCCCGATGGTCGGTTCGTCGAATCGGCATCGTCGAGCTGTGTTAAGGGACCTATAGGCAGTTTTATACGCCTACAGATACCCCCTCCAAAGTATTTCAGTCTCGTTCTTTTATAGAAGAGTCTGGAATACTTTGGATATGATTGTCCTATTCTTCGATTGGTTACCATGGGATATTTGGAGTGGCTTTCATTCTTGGTTCCTTCAGTCCCCCAGGCTGTTCGGTGCTTTGTCGAATATCTGTAAGGGTTCCGGTGCTGCATTTATTGTCTGACCGCCTGTCGGAATTTTGAATTTGAAGTCGATTCTCGATTTTCTGACTTTTTAGCTCGAGTTGGTTATTTCAACATAGAACTGACTATCGGTCATCGACGTTGAATCTTCATTTACAACGCGTTGTCCGGCGCCCAAGCTAGAGTATACACATTTTAAGCTCTTAAGGAATTAGAGCGTGGCGGATACTCGAGTCACGAGACCAATCTACAGAGTTGATACATCTATGACTCGTATTTATAGAATTTTTGGCAAATTCTCAGCCATCAACGGGCTTGATGAGCCTTTACCGACTACCGTTTGAGTCGGGCTAGCATGCGGATTGTTCAAGTCCGTTCCGCATGTGACGTTAAGCTAAAAGAGTTAACCCTTTTAGTGCTACGATCTTGAATACGTACACTTCGTCTTTCTCCTGTGAAAAGACTAAACAACAACGTGTATGAGACGTTGACTTAGGATTTTTGGCAAATCCTCAGCCTTCAACGGATTTGACGTGCTCTTACCGACTACCGTTTGAATCGGGCTACATGCGGATTGTTTTAATCCGTTCCGCATGTGACATTGTGCTAAGAGAGTTAACGCTCTGAGTGCTACGATATTGAATACGTAGACTTCGTCTTTCTCATGGGAATAGACTACCCGGCGACGCGTGTTAGGTGTTGACTTTAGGGTTTTTGGCTAACCCCCAGCCTTCAACGGGTTTGATTAGCCTTTACCGACTACCGT